TTTTTTTTTTGTATTTCATATAATGTAAAATATACTTATTCTAAGCCATATACACGGCCTGAAAAAGATATACATATATATAGATATGTGGCACAGAAATATGCGCATACAGGGAAAAAACCACCTACTACCTCTACAGATACTGATTAAGAAACAATAAGTTTTCCAACAGAAAATTATATCCACACGACTAAACGTTTCTAAAATGTTTGAATCTACGGTTTAAAAAAAGCCACAGAATACTACCCCATCGAACAGTCAAAGCAGTTAAGAGAAATAAAAAAAACCCGATTCCTATAGATAGCAGTCAGCAACACACCCCATAAGAATTTATGGTATAATACAGTCCTACGAAAAATTGGAACTTCAATTATGATAAACTCAAGAAATTTGTAGATTCAAAAAAAACAAGTAAAAAAAAAAATGCGACCAATCTTCTTATGATAAAATACATTAGGATCAAATCTGCAAAACAAGCTGTTAATGGAAACGAAAAAAAAACACCAACCAAAACAATGAAATAAATCACGACTCAAATTGTTATCAGGTTAAACCTAATCTTCATATTGGTATACCTTTGACGACGATAAACGTTCAAAGCGAAAATCTTATGTATACAGGATACTTTACATACATAAATACATATAAATACAGATATAAATATAAATATAAATATATATATATATATATATATATATTTACATATACAGATATCTATGTATATATATGATAGATATTATATATATGATAGTTATAACAGAAGCGACAGAACTATAGTTGAGCAGTCGAGCATAAATATTGAGTTGTATTAATTGATAATAAATTGAAACGATAAAGGCAACGCTATAGCTTGTTGGCGAATTGCCTAATGAGTTATATTTACATTCCCATTAGTTTACATATAAATAGAGAGACATAGGGGAACTATTGCGACAATTGAAATAGTATGCAGGAGAAAACTGCATGTCTGATATGTTGCGCACAGAAATTGTTCAGCTCGGTCGTTATGGATGTTTGGCAATCTACCAGCTGTAATGTTCATATCAGAAATTCAAACAACTTTTTTTTTGCGCATGTTTTTTACATGATCTTAAATGGTTTTAAGGTTATTCTGTCGCTTCTTCATTAAAACTGTGTTTGAAAAAAGTTTTCTTGTATTCATAAGTTCTCTGAGTTATGTCTTTTTTGTTTATTTTCAGTGTTTATTATATTTTTAAATTTTAAAAACATGCTCTTTATGAGTTTTTAAAAATTTTGTTATTTTTTTGATCATAATTTTGACTTTTTCTCTACTTAACGGTTTTATGAGATATAATTTTATGACTGAGTGGCACAAGCGTCTTGAATTTAACTTGTCGATGAAATATTATCATTAATGGTGGTCTGTTTTAGGTTTGTTTTCATGCAGCCTATTATCGGTGATGCAACTTGGTTGCTGAAAGTGGAAAAGTTAGTTTTTTTTTTTAATTTTTGTTTTTAAGAGCTAGCTAATGTACATTTTTTACAGGGTTACAGTGCCGAAATGCTTACTGTCTGATAAATTTTAAACATAATTGTGTACAGTGTCTTGCTTCTCTGTTTTCTTTAGTCAACGTTAGTTTTTTTTTAAAAGAAAACTAGGAGAGAGCTCCTGAAGACAGTAAGAGATTTGAATATATAATAGAGAATGAACTGTCTAAAAAACTTTCCTGTCGGTTAGTACGGTAGTACAATTAAAAGTTTGATTCTTCAGGAATTATTGAGTGATATGAATGAAACAAAAGAAAATATAATTACATCAGAACAGCCAGTTGTTCTGCGCTGGAAGAAAGTGACAAATGCAACTGGTCCAACTCCAAGGTGATATCAGCGCAGAAACCTAAGTTTTATTTTTTTTGTAAATATTTACTGTTGACTGTGACATCCAGAATTTGTAGAATTCTAAATGAGTTTGAAATATTCGACTCTTGAATGAATTTATTTATAATATTGCGTCTAAGTTCTTTCTCCCCGGCTCTGAAAGAATAGAGAAATTGCAGACCGCGTCATGGGCATCGTGCAGTGGCCATTAAGGACTTAATGATAGTCTTTGGTGGTGGTAATGAAGGTATTGTTGAAGAACTGCATGTTTATGATTCTTGTAAGTGACTTTCAGTTATGTTCATTACTTGTTTTTTCATAATATTACAGTAGCATTTGAAACTTCCTGACAGTTTTATGCACTTTTTTTGAAGCGACAAACCAGTGGTTTGTTCCCGCTGTCCGGGGGGACGTTCCAGATGGATTTGCAGCTTTTGGTATAGTATGTGACGGTACACGTATTTTCATGTTCGGTGGCATGGTTGAATATGGCAGGTACTGTTCGCTAAAATGTTTTTCTGTATTATATAGAGATCATTCATTGATGTCTACTCGTTAACTTCCGACTTTAGGTACTCTGCAGATCTTTACGAATTACAAACCAGCAGATGGGAATGGCGGCTTTTGCGAGTACGCCCTCCTAAAACAGGAGATTCAGGTCCTTGTCCGAGACTTGGCCATTCGTTTTCTTTAGCCTCTGACCAGGTATGCCGAGGAAAATCGAAGTTTTTTTGGCAGAGTTTTTTAGAAATTCTTCTGATTGCGGAGGTATTAATGAGTTTAAATGGGAGATTAGTACAAAAATAATTGAGTGGATTAATAATTTTTGAACACTTCAGCTTTGCTTCTTATTCGGCGGTTTAGCAAATGATAGTACGGATGTAAAGCAAAACATTCCACGTTATTTAAATGATCTTTTTACATTGGATCTACGATATGGAACTAACAACCTTCAGTGGGAATGTCCCCAGGTACTCTTAAATCAATATAAAAATATTCGTTCTTTGTTCTTAAATTGTTTTTGGTTTTGCCATGAAACAGGCATCTTTAAACCTTTAAATTTTCTTTCTTACTTTCAGCGGTTTGCTATATTTCTTCATCATATATTTTCAAAGATTGGTATTGTACAGAATTTTTATTTTTTTTTCTTGATCAATTTGGCGTTATAACCTGTTTGCTGAAGCTTAATTAGATGCTTTTTTGTTCACTTCGTTCATTCTTGGGAAATCCACTTGTGGAAATCCAACAATTACTGTTATTTTATCTTTGTAGCTTACATTGAATACTTTTTAATTTTTTCTTGGTTTAATGATGTATGTCGGTATTATTTTTCAGACATACGGGCAGAAACCTTCACCTCGTGAGTCACATTCTGGTGTCATATATGAAACCATTTCACGTCGCCAGTTGATTATCTACGGAGGTATGAACGGCGTTAGACTAGGTGATCTATGGATTCTAGATTTGGATTCTATGACTTGGACAAATCCAATTCCTCAAGGTGATGCCCCACTTCCTCGGTCGCTACATTCGGCTAATATAATTGGAGATCGGTTAGTAGTTGTATAGAATGTTTTAGTCAGCTGTTTCTGCAGTATTTTTTTCATTTATTTTTTTGCTCTTAGATGGACCCACAGCTCTTTCTGTTTAGCATGATCGTATTTGGTGGTTGGGTACCGTTATGCATGGAAGATTCGAAGACACATAACGAGAAAGAGTGGAAATGTACGAATACACTGGCTTCTTTGAATTTGAGAAAACTGTCGTGGGAGCCTCTCTCACTGGGTGCTGGCGAAGGTTTTAAATTTTGTTATTACCGTGTTTTATTTAAATGCGGTCAGTTTATTATGTAGTGTTTCTTTGATGGTTATAAATTTCGCTTTAGAATTAACGTAGCAAGTTTTTAGATACCTTGCCGCGTGCTAGGGCAGGTCACAGTGCCGTTGTCATTAATAAAAGAGTTTATGTTTGGTCTGGGAGAGACGGTTATCGGAAAGCTTGGAATAATCAAGTCATTTTTTGTTCTTTTTGCTCGTTTTTTATTACACCCAGTTAGAGCTTCCTGTTAGGACTGTGTTTTTAGGTATGCTGTAAAGATATGTGGTTCTTGGAAACTGAAAAACCGTGTGCTCCTGGGAAGGTTCAACTAGTGCGTGCAGCTATAACCTCGTTAGAAGTATGTTGGAATGCGATAGCAACTGCTGAAGCTTATCGGTTGCAGCTTTACAAATATGATGCTCAGCAGAAAAGAGATGAAGAGGGTTTGTTCAACAGCGATATCTAAACTTTCACTGTACTTTTATTTTTGACAAATTATTATTTATTTTTATTTTTAT